CTCCCAGACAGAAGTACTGGCAAACGTCATAGTTTCTTTGATGAAAAACCTACCTCCACAGAGCCAGCAGGTGGACACCATATCTGATAGTCAATTACCTGACTCACACTGTTTGCCCCACCTTGAGGTTCCACCCCACCCAACTTTTGGGCCCACCCAAGCTATTTCCAGTGACTTTTTCATATGAATTGCTTGTCTTGGCTCATGCTTTAGTTTTCCTAAGTTCTCTCAGAAAAGCAGCAACTGGCCTTGGTTCACAGTTTGGCCTTGCTTGGGCACCTCCAAGCCCAGCACAAGTAGCAGCCATCTGCAGATCACTTGGTAGCTCATGGCTGGTGCCTAAGACAGAACACAGGCAGTGGATGACCTTGGCCTACACCTCCCAGGAGGCCCCAGATGCTGCACACTCAGTGGACAGCTACAGACCATGTTGGAGCACCATCACCCAATTACCTCCATAAGTGACACACTCAAGGGGCAGACTCAGCGGGCTCCAGAGTCCTGCTGAAGTCAGTCCTGCTCTGTGGAGTAGGCCCCTGTACAGCTGATCATGGTGGTCAGAGGTTGGTGGTCAGTGATCACAGCTTAGCTTGCCAACTGCAATTAAGGCTCAACTACAAGAGCAGTGTGTATACAGTCCAGATGATGGGCATATTTTGAATACCCAGCTTGGGTAATAGGAGAGGCAGTGCCACTGGACCCTACAGGACACCAACTACATTAGGCCACTCTACCAAGCTAAGGGAGTCATAGCAGCTCTGCCTAATACATAGAAACAAATATAGGGAGGTTGCCAGTATGAGGAGACAAAGAAACATGGCTCATGAAAGAACAGAATAAAACTTCAGAAAAAGAACTAAACAAAATGGAGGCAAACAAACTGCTGGATGCAGAGTTCAAAACATTTTATAAGGATGCTCAATGAAATTATGGGAAGAATAAATGAACTCAGAATTTCAAAAGCATAAAAAAGGACATTGAAACCATAAAAAATAACCAGTCAGAAATGGAAGGGTATACTAACTGAAATAAAGAACAATTTTTTTAAAAGATTTTATTTATTTATTCTTTAGAGAGGGAAGGGAGAGAGAGAGAGAGAGAGAAACATCAATATGCGGTTGCTGGGGGTCATGGCCTGCAACCCAGGCATGTACCCTGACTGGGAATCAAATCTGCGACACTTTGGTTCACAGCCCACGCTCAATCCACTGAGCTATGCCAGCCAGGGCTGAAATAAAGAACAATTTAATAAAGAAATCAATAGTAGAGTAGGTGAAGCCAAGAATCAAATCAGTGATTTAGAATATAAGAAAACAACAAGCAATCACAACAGCAAGAAGAAGAAAAGAATCTAAAAAAAAACGAGGATAGTATAAGAAGCCTCTGGGATAACTTCACATGTACCAGTATTCACATAGTGGGGGTGCAGGAAAGAGAAGAGAAAGAGTAAGAAATTGGAAATCTATTTGAAAAAATAATGACAGAAAATTTCCCTAATTTGGTGAAGGTAAAACGAGTAGACATAAAAGCCCAGAAAGCGCAGAGTCTCAAACAAGATGAACCCAAAGAAGCCCACACCAAGACACATCATAATTAAAATGCAAAAGATTGAAGACAGGGAGAGAGTTTAAAAGGAAAAAGAGAAAAGCAGTTAGTTACCTACAAGGGAGCTCCCATAAGACTGTTAGCTGATTTCTAAATAGAAACTTTGCAGTCTAGAAGAGATTGACAAGAAATATTCAAAGTGATGAAAAGCAAGGTCCTACAACCAAAATTACTCTACGCAGCAAAGCCATCATTTAGAAAAAGAGCTTCCCAGACAAGAAAAAGCTAAAGGAGTTCATCATCACCAAACAGTATTATATGAAATGTTAGTGTCCTTTAAGATCAAAATATGAACAATAAAATGGCAATAAATTCATCTATCAATAGTTGAATCTAAAAAAAAAGACAAAATAGATGAACAAACAGAACAGAAACTGCATCAGTGATACAGAGACTGTTTTGATTGTTGCCAGATGGGAGGCAGGTTGGGGGGAGTGGGAAAAAAAGTTGAAATGATTAAGAAATACCAATTGGTTGTTACAGAATAGTCATGGGATGTAAAGTACAGCATAGGGAATATAGTAGCCAAAGAACATATATGCCTGACCCATGGACATAGATAATGGCATGGGGATCACCTGAGGGACTTAGGGGGAGGTATAGATGGAAGGGGACAAGAGAGAGGAATTGGGACAATTGTAATAACATAAATAGTAAAATATAATTTATATTTTAAGAAGAGTAAGGAATAGAAAAAAGGAGATGGCAAAAAAGAACAAAGAAGGAATTTAAAAATAAGGAAAGAAGGAAAAATGGAGTAAGAGTAAAGTAAGAGATATGAAAGAAAAACAGGAAAAACAAAAAATAGAAAAAAAAGGCCAAGAAAAAACAAAAAATAACGGAAATAATGAAAAAGAACAAAGTGGAATTCATCTCAGCAAAGTTTAATTCTTGCCTGCCAGGTTCTCCCTTGGGGTATGACTCTAATGTTGTGTAAAGCTGGTATAAACTAATGTCAGATGCTGTCCTTGACTAGCCCTTTGCAGCCTGTTGGAGCCACTAAAGATCCAGTGCTTGTGGCTGTCTCCTCTGGGCTTGGCTGTGCACAGGATGGTCCATGCTGCTGCATGACTGGCTTTTGTCAGCACAGGGCTCAGGGGTGGGTCAGCAAACTAGGATCTGCCTCCATCTGCCTCTGGCTGGTGGCCTACTGTCAGTCTTAGCCTAGTCACTAACTTGACTGTTTCTGAGAGAGCTCCTGATGAAGTATGGAGGATGGACCCCTGGATCTCCCATGGGAGGTCCCTTTCAGACTTCAGGGAAGATAGTGGGTATGTTCCCCATCCACTAGCTACACATCTTAGTCTGTTCCAGATTATTTCTCTGAACTTGGCAGAGTAGAACCCCTAATAGGAAATCATATGGGGCCTCTAGACCCCAGAGGTTGGGTTTGCCAGAAGCCAGGAGGGTGTTTCTGTGGCTCTCCCATGAGAGGGAACTGCCAGACTGTTTCAAGGGAAAGTGTATGGGTTGGTTGTACCCTAAAGCTAGTCTCAAACACCTTCTAAGTCTACATATGTTGCTGTTTCCTCAGCAGAGATTCAGATGCTGGAGTTGGGGGAGGGGGCAGACAGCAGGGTATGGGGGGTGGGGATGCAGGGTGGGGCAAGCAGGATTCCAGAGGGTGGGAATAGGTATCCCACAGGGTTTGGTAATTGTTTTTCCCTTGGGCAGGGCTTCTCAAGAAAAATGTCTGCTGCAATGTGGAGGTATGTCCTGTCATAGGGTCTCTTCCCAGTGCCTCCCACTCCAGATTTTCCTCAGGCAATTCCAGTCCATGCTGCCTTCCCTTTGCCATAGCCCAAGGCGAGTGACTGTGAATGAGACATTTGTACTTTGGCTTCTTAAAAAAAACCAGTGGCTTTCTCTCCAGCAGGTCCCATCTCTCCCAGGCAGAGGAAAACCCCGTGGCCTTTCACCACTGGATGCTACATGCGTGGCTGATCCTGGCATTGGTGCTCTGTGCTTGGGAACCCAGTCTGGGGTCTAGGCTTCACTCCTCTCAGGGGGAAGCTACCAGAACCATGATGTATGCTCAGCCTGCCACCCATGGGAGCGGGCCATCCCCTTTTATGCCCCCAACCATCCTACCAGTCTCAAGGTGGTTTCTGCCCATCCTTGGTTAGAAGTCTCTTCTTCAGTTAGTCTTTGGTTATTTATTTTGGGTGGTTGTTCCCCTCTTTATTTTTATTTCCAGTGTGGTTCTGGGAAGAGGTGTGAGAAAGATCCTCCTCCTTTGTCGCCATCTTGCAAATATCATCCTCCCCTGCCCCACAAGAATTCTTTATATAATCTGGATATTAACCCTTTATCAGATATATGATTTGCAATTATTTTCCCCCAGTTTGTGGGTTGCCTTTTCATTTTTTTGATAGTGTCCATTGACGCACAAAAGATTTTCATTTTTAAAAAAGATTTTATTTATATTTTCAGAGAGAGGGGAAGGGAAGGAGAAAGAGAGGGAAAGAATTATCAGAGACAAACATTGGTTGCCTCTTGTCTGCATCCCTACGGGGGACCAAAACCCAGTCATATGCCCTGACAGAGCTGAACTGGTGATCTTTTGCTTTGCAGGATGATGCCCAACCAACTGAGCCACGCTGGTCAGGGCAAAAGGTTTTAATTTTGATGAAGTGTAATTTATCCTTTTTTTTCCCCCTAATCTTTCAGGGTTCTCTCCATGATACTTCTATTATGATACCTACTGGGTTTAGTGTTGCTATTATGCTCATCTCATAAAATGAACTTAGAACCTTTCCATCTTTCTCTGTGCTCTAAACACTTTAACAGTATGGGAATTTTCTAATTTTAAAAAAACAAGTTTATTTAATTCTGAAATTGAACAGTTATAATGGAGAAAACTTTAAGTCTGTGAGAGGATGATGGCAAAGGAGATACCATAAAACTGTTGAACGGAAATATATTAGAAGATACTCATGAGTGAATACTAGTCTCTATCTTCCACATCCCTGCAAGTATAATATAGTATGTGACATGCTAGGAGTATATCCACTTATCTGTTACCTTCTAACCAAAAGCTCTGAGCTTCTTGGAGGGTGTGTGTATGTTTTGAGCAGGATGTTTTTCTGAAAACACCTGGTAGAGAAAACAGGATTCCCGTATTGAAAACTTTACTTGAATACATCTATTTCACAATCCAAGAAACACCTATAATCAGTCATGTCAAAGGTAGTTAAGGATAAGAAGAAAAGTTTAGTTTAAGTTTTAAATGCCATTCATTATTCTTCCACTCAACTTTTTCATTTTTGTTTCACTCAAGGAAAGTGTACTTTAGGCTCATGTGACACTAACATATTGGGGGGGAAGTGATCTTTGCATTGTGGGAATACTTCTTCTATAGGCTATTTAACTGAATTTTGTTACTCTTGATTTAGGAGCTGAAGTTGCCGTCCTACAAAGGCCAGTCCCCTCAGCTAAGTCTCAGAAGATATTTTGCTGACTTGATTGCCATTGTGAGCAATCGCTTCACACTCTGCCCTTCTGCCCGACATCTTGCAGTCTATTTGCTGGACTTGTTTATGGATCGGTATGACATCTCTATCCAGCAGTTGCATTTAGTTGCACTTTCCTGTCTGCTTCTAGCAAGTAAGTATGAATCTGACCTACATGATTTGAAATTTCTGTTTACAATAAAATAAATTTATGTGGAACTTGGTAAAATATCACCAAATTACATTTATTCCAGTTTATGATTATCAGAAAGTTTATGTTGAAAATTCTCCTTGGCACTATAATTCTTAACGATACATTAAAATGTGTCTTTGAAGTCCTGTTGCATTTTTTTTGTTGTTTTTTAAATTTTTTAGAGAGACATTGATTCATTGCCTTCTCATATGTGCCCTGACTGGGGATTGAACTTGCAACCTAAGTATGTGCTCTCACTGGGGATTGAACCAGCAACCCCTTTGTTTTTAGGATGACACTCTAACCAACTGAGCCACAGCATCCAGGGACAGAAGTCTTTTAAAAACACACATGTCTAAGCCTTACATCCTAAAGATTGTGAAACAAATGTCTAGGCCATTCCAGATCTACTGACTCAGAATCTATATCATGGGGCCTGGGTATCTTTAAAATTTTTAAAAATTTCCAAGGTGAGTCTGATGTACCTTTGCAATTGAGAACTATTGCCTTAAAGTAGTGGTTTTTATCCAGGAGCATTTGTGCTCCACAGGGGATTCTTGGCAATGTGTGGAGATGGTTTTGGTTATAATCACAACCTTGGAGGATGCTACTAAGATCCTGTGAGTAGAGTGGGACAGTTCCCCACAACAAAGAAACATCTGGACCAAAATTCAGTGGAGCTGAGATTGAGAAACTCTGTCTAAAAGGTAGCATACTCACTCTGACTGGTGTGGCTCAGTTGGTTGAGCATATCCCACAAAGCAAAATGTCCCTGGTTCAATTCCCAGCTGGCACATGCCTGCCTAGGTTGCGGATTCACTCCTCATTTGAGGCACGTACTAAAGGCAGCAGATTGATATTTCCGCTTCACATCAGTATTTGTCTCCTTCTCTTCCTCCCTTCCTCTCTCTATAAATAAGTAAATAAATAAATAAATAAATAGAACCACATTCTTTGTTAGAATACCTTCTATTGACTATATAATGAGTTAACTTAAAGAACTGAAGGGACCCTTCTACAGTCAGAGAAGATGCAGGAATATTGCAGTAGAGTGCAGGGCATAGCATCAGCACTGCCCTATGGAAGCAGGTGACCACAAAAAGGCATAAAGTCGTCATCTGCACAGAAACCAAAGAACTGAGGATTTCAATGGGATCTAACTATTGCTTACTCCTAACTACAATCAGAAAAGATCTTTCCACCCTTATTGCTGAGTGAACTCCCATAATTGACTTCTGACCAAGATGGAGGCATAGGTAGACACACTGATTCTTCGCACAATCAAAAGAAGGACAACAACAAATTTAAAAACAAAAACCAACCAGAACTGCCAAAAAATTGAACTGTATGGAAGTCTGACAACCAAGCAGTTAAAGAAGAAACATTCATCCAGATCAGTAGGAGGAGCAGAGATGGGCAGCCGGGCAGAGAGGACTCATGGCAAGGCGGTGGCTGGAGGACCAGGGCAGGTAAGGAGGGAGCTGGCGGAGCTGGGGGGGTCCCACATTTGAGTGCAGATAAACCGGTAGGAACAGCTGAGCAGCGAGACAGACCGCACAGCCAAGGGTTCCAACATGAGGAAATAAAGCCTCAAAACCTCTAACTGAGAAAACCTGTGTGGGTTGAGGCAGTGGGAGAAACTCCCAGCCTCATGGGAGAGTTCATTGGAGAGACCCACAGGGTCCCAGAACACACACAAACCCACCAAAATAGGAATCAGCACCAGAAGGGCCCAATTTGCTTGTGGGTAGCAGAGCAGGTGACACTATTCCCTCTTGGATCCCTCCCCCAGATACAGCGTTACAATGTAGCCACGTAGTTGTCCCACCCTGGGGAACACCTAAGGCTTTGCCCCTTACTACATAACAGGTGTGCCAAGACAAAAAAAAAAACATGGTCTAAATGAAATAACAGGTCAAAGCTCCAGAAAAAATACAACTAAGCAACGAAGAGATAGCCAACCTATCAGATGCACAGTTCAAAATACTGGTAATCAGGATGCTCACAGAAATGGTTGAGTATGGTCACAAAATAGAGGAAAAAGTGAAGGCTATGAAAAGTGAAATAAAGGAAAATGCACAGGGAACCAACAGTGACAGGAAGGAAACTGGGACTCAAATCAACAGTTTGGAGCAGAAGGAAGAAAGAAACATTCAACCAGAACAGAATGAAGAAACAAGAATTCAAAAAAAATGAGAAGAGGCTTAGGAACCTCCAGGACATCTTTAAATATCCCGGCATCTGAATCATAGGGGTGCCAAAAGGAGAAGAGAAAGAGCAAGAAATTGAAAACTTACTTGAGAAAATAGTGAAGGAGAACTTCCCCAATCTGGCAAAGGAAATAGACTCCCAGGAAGTCCAGGAAACTCAGAGAATCCCAAAGTAGTTAGACCCAAGGAAGCACACACTAAGGCACATCATAATTACATTACCCAAGATTAAACATAAGGAGAGAATCTTAAAAGCAACAAGGAGAAGGAGACAGTTACCTAATAAGGAATTCCCATAGTAATATCAGCTGATTTCCCAAAAGAAACCTTCCAGGCAAAAAGGGGCTGGAAAGGTTTCGAAGTCATGAAAGGCAAGGACCTACATCCAAGATCACTCTATTCAACAAAGCTATCATTTAGAATGGAAGGGCAGATAAAGTGCTTCCCAGATAAGGTCAAGTTAAAGGAGTTCCTCATCACCAAGCCCTTACTGTATGTATGAAATGTTAAAGGGACTTACCTAAGAAAAAGAAGATTAAAAAAATATGAATAGTAAAATGACAGCTATTAACAGCCAAACCTAAAATAACAGAAACAAACTAAGCAAACATCTAGAACAGGAACAGAATCCCAGAAATGGAGATCACATGGAGGTTTATCAGCAGGGGAGAGATGGGGAAAGGTACAGGGAATAAGTAGCATAGATGGTAGGTAGAAAATAGACAGGGGGAGGGTAAGAATAGTATGGGAAATGTAGAAGCCAAAGAACTTATATGTATGACCCATGCACATGAACTAAAGGGGGGCAATGTGGGTGGGAGGGGGTGTGCAGGGTGGAGGCAAATAAAGGGGGTGAAATGGGACAACTGTAATAGCGTAATCAATAAAATATGTTTTTAAAAAAAGATCTGAAGGTTCACATGCAGCTGCTGCACATGTGAAAACCTTTGCTTATGCCATAGGCACAACTCAGTAGTAGACTGCATGGTGGCATCAGATAGAACCATACTTTTTACACAGTGCAGATGCTACTATTGGCCTTTTCTCTTAACATCTTCCTGTCACTCATTTCATTGTTAGTACCCCAGCTGAAGATAAAGAGGGTGAGTAAAGGAATTGGAGTTTTTCGTCTTTTAGTAATGTAAAAAAATTGTATTTGATATTGAAGTTGAACCTATTATGAAGTTTCTGTATTATTCATGTCATTACAATAGAAATGTAAGCCTCACCTCAAAGTGGTATTTAGAATATGTGCTGCCTTTACCTTTAATCCTCACTTCAGGGTTTGGGATCCAGTGTGGCTGCTTTCTAAAGAACAGTCCCCGTACATCCTGCCACCAGAGTACTTTCTAAGACATCTTTGTGTTTTTACTGCAAATAAACTTAAATGCAGGCCTGTGTGGTATCATTTCTGGTACTGATTTTTCCTCATGTTTTTCACCCTTTTCCTACCCTTATTCTTCCTTTGATCTGACGACCTTAACTACTTATTTGTCTCCTTGAAGGTTTTTTTTTTATTTCAAATCTTTTGCGAACCAGGCTGAATATAAATAAACATAGCCCTAGTAAAGACTTCCCACTGCCTGTTGATTTAGGTAGAAACTCCTTAATGTAAAATTTTGAACCTTTCATCTGGAATTAGCCACCTTTCCGGTTTCATCTTCCAACCCTATCGCCATGTACTTTGAGCCAAATTTTTACCAGAATACTCATTTTCCTGAAGAATCTATATTTCTCTTTCAATTTATTGTTCTCTAAGATCCAGACACATCACCTGCTACTCCTCACCCGGAAAGCCCATGAAGTAATACTTATATATTTATAATGAACCTTTAACCTTTAATTAAGGTTTCATCTTCATAAGCAGTCATGTGTACAATTCACTATGTCTTTATCACTGGCCACAAAGCCCTTTGTGGTTTAATAGTTTGCGTAAAATTGGAAAAACCCATACTTGACACATCAGATGTATGAGAATCCACAAATGAAATAGTTTCTTGTTATGTTTGTTTATTGGTGAACTAGGTTATAGTAGAGAGACACTAGAAATCAAATTTTCAAGTTAGGTTATTTTTAAAATTTGGGATAATTAACGAAAAATAATGTTTTGCTTTCTATGGCCATCACTACTATCCTTTACCACTATGAAATTCTTAAAGTACGGTGTGGGCCAAGTGGGATACTCCTCTTGGTGGACTGTGAAGTTATGAATGATGGATAGTCAGTTCATAGACCAACTTCTATTTATAACTAAAGTTTACTTGTAACTTATTAAATGAATTAGGAATTACTACACTAGATTACTTAAGTGAATTAGGGATTAATAAACTAGATATTCATACATGTTACTACCAAAGTTTACTAAGGACACTAGTTAAATAATTTAGTAAGAATTCTGGCCTCCATGCAAAGCTTGGGGTTGGTTCCAAGTTCCTGCAATTTTCACAGTTTGGAGAAAAGTTACTTTATTTGTGTACTCTCTTAGGTTGGTTAGAATAGTTTCCAAATTGTTCCTGTTTTTAAATTATCTATTACTTTTAGTTTAAGGTCATGATCAATGTATTTTGATTTAAGCTATGTGGTAATATGTAATTACTTTTTGTTTGTTTTCAAGGAGCTAGGCTTTAGGATTTGTATTTACTGTGGTTCATACATGAATTGTTTACCACCTATTACTGAAGGAGTTGGATACCTCCTCCCTTTGTCTTACTGCTACCCCTTAACCCCTCTTTCCCAGAGACAGAATTGCTTTTACATTATTCTTCCTCCCTGAAGAATGGGAAAGTGCAGGAGATAGGTATTCCCCACCACCCCCCCCACCCCCCGACCCGCGAGTCTCAGCACCTCCCAAGTAAGCAGTGCTCAAAAGAGTTTAAGATGTGGCTTCTGCACAACACAAGGAAGCAAATAAGCTGGCTTGTAGTAGCTGCCTGCAGTCTCTCCTCACTCCAGTCTGTGACTTGACTACCACAGAAGCGCTTAGGATGCTTGTAAACTAGTAGCCTGTTTTCAGGACCTGATATCTCTTTTATACTTGTGGAGTTCATTCCAGTATTTCTTACATTCTTACACTCTATATTCTTACATTTGGATACCAATGGCAGCTTTCCAGTTAGTTACCATAAATTTTATTCAAATAATGCTTCTCTGCTCACAGAATGATTGAATTCTGTATGCTCCACTCCCCTAGCTGCTCCCTGCTTTGGGGTGGGCAGCCTGGTGTATAAAAGTGAAGAACAGTTTACAGCTGAGAGTGGATTCTAGTTATTAAAGAAATTGGGAGGTTGTCGGTAGTTTGGTCAAAGATGGAGCACAGTTTGTAAGTTCTGGGTACTAATGTGTATCCAGCTGCCTAAGTGTAGAGGTAGGAAGAAAGGGCCTCAGGTTATCTGATTGGAGGGTGGTGTGTAGTGTTGTAGAGTAGGGATTATAGTGATGGATTGCCTCAGTTTGAATCTCTTGTTAGCAATATGAATTTCAGGAACCTTTGAGTCTCAGGTTATTTCTCTATAAAATGAAAATAAAGACTTACAAAGTTGTCTTGAGAATCAAGTGGGGGTAATATGTTTAAAACCAGGTAGGAAATTTGGGGAGGGGGAAAAAAAAAGGCAGGTAGGAAATCGAAATATAAAAGCATTGCAGTGATTACTCTTCCATAAACTATTTCATGATCTTTGGTCTAGGTCCCTATTCCTAAGGTTCCGGTTCATTCCAGAAAAGACTGGTTTATCCTGGGAAATTCTCAAATTCCAGCTCTTTGACATGTATACACTGGCTTTCCTTGGCTTCTTTGATCAGCATTGAACTTGTGAAAAGCCTGGAAGCAGACTCAGGGATGAGGCTTTTGATAATTTGCTCAAGATATTGTGTAGGTAAGAAATTATCTTGGAGTGAAGATGAAGGCAAAAGTGAGATCATAGGCTTTGAGCAGTAAAAACTCGTGACAAGCACTTGTTTCCCCTTGCTGGTCAATACTGGGCTGACAGAGCTTTTTACTTTACAGTCTGATAGGTGAAAAATTGTATCTCACAGTTGATTTGATTTATATCTTAATTTTTAATGAGAATAGAACCTTCTTTTTTTCTTATGAATTGCCTCTTCCTATTCCTTATCTATTGTTCTATAGTCTTATAAAATTTGTGCGAGTTCTTGGTGTATATAATGGATGATTTTTTTTCCTACTTCATTACAAAAGAACAGAATGTAGGTTGAAAGAGCTCACTGTGATATCTGATCCTTGCCCTACCACCACATACCTTCCATTCACTGCTGGCTTTGAAAATATGCAGGTTTCCAGGGCTGATATGAACATTTCCTATAAAGGAAAGACAACCTGATGTTTTGTTTCTGTGTCCTCTAATTCTTTATTTTCGGGGAAGCAGACATGAATTTCCTGTGCCCTTATTTCCTGTTTAGGGCCTTTGTTGATATAATCACATGGCTTCTGGTATTTCCTTTCATTTGAAGAAACTGAGCTTTGTTATCTATATGTGGTATTGTGGGTAAGTAGTTTTAAAATACCCATTCACATAGCATTTGGCACAACAGAAACTATGGCTATGAGTGCAGGTTCTCTGATGCTGTCACACACTTTGAAATCCTTTCATATCCATGTATCTGAGTATTTATATTCCTATATATAATGAAAAAGTTAAAAAAAATTAAACCTGAATTAAAATCCAAAGTATGGCCCTGGCCTGTGTGGCTCAGTTGGCTGGAGCACCATCCTGTAACCACAAGGTTGTGTGTTCAGTTCCTCCCTACCTTGGCACAACCTAAGGTTGTGCATTAATCCCTGGTCCTGATGCGAGCTCCTGTGATCCCAGTGTGGGTGGAATAGGAGGCAACCAATCGATACTTCTCTCTCACATCAAAATGTCTCTCTTGCAAAGATGTGTCTTTCTCCCTTACTCCTCCCTTCCTCTCTCTCTCTAAAAGCAATTTTAAAAAAATGTCCTCAGGTGAGGGTTAAAAAAAAAAATCCCATGTAGGGTATTTATGCACTGTGCAGTTTATTTTTAATGTTGGAAATCAAGATACAAAGGCTTTCACACTGGTAATAGCTGAGTACTTTTACTAGTATAGAAACTCCATAGATGCTTAATAATATAGGTAGTTGTCCCCATATAACCCAGTGTAATACTTTGGTGTAGGAGTCCAGATTGGGAACTCAAACATATGCCTTTCTTTTGGCTTCCATTTTTAGTTCAGCTCCATTTATTTGACCTTAAATGAATTGGCCAACCTCACTACCTTGGTGCTTGAGCTGTGAAATTGGTCATACACAATTTTGTTTTCAGTATTGAAGGTTTCAAGGAGATAATATGAAACTTTCTTGGTCCTTGTATTAAACAGTGAATTATGGTATATTAGTTTCTTCAGTGCAACTTTAAGAGTGATATAAATTCATAAATTTTTACAATATTTCTTTGGGGTGTACTGCCCATGTTGTTGCTGCTACAGAAATGGCAGGGCACTTTGAAAGCCTTAATGATTCATCCAGAGGGACTGACCTCAATTCACTGGTCGTTCTCCTTCTGAAGAATTCCAGTCTCTCATACTAAGAACACAGTGGGTTCCTCCTATATCTTTATGCAGTGGTGATACTAGATTACCATGTCATAGAGACCACTTTTAGTGCTTTCACCTGTGCTAAGTATATGCTTTTGGGAAAACTTGTAAGATTCACCTTGATGTGGTTTGAATTGGGAAGAGCTATCTAAATTTATGAAAAGTATGAATTATGTAATTTTTTAAAATTAACCCCTACCTGTAGCAATATGCAGTTAAGAGTAGTGTAAATCTAAAGAAATTCAAAATTTTGGGAGAAGAGAAATTATTTGCTTCCTTGGGCTTTCTTCTTGAAGTTTTATGATCTTAGAGTCTCCCGCCATAGGAGATAAAACCTTCCACCTCAGTTCCCCCTCCCTAAGCAAAGATCAAGGTAGTCAACATTACTTTCTTCTTCCTGGCCCTAAAGCAGGATGATTTGAACAAACCCCACTGGCTCCAATGCACTGAGCATTTGGGCTGAGTGACCCTGGCCACTACCATTTTGGGAGCAGCTTCAACATGTGGTGTAAACTGGTCTCTTCTGGAAGAGAAACTCATCTGGTTCCTACTGCTTTGGTAGTCATTCTGACTCTTCAAAACATTTTTTTAAATGGATAAAATAGTCATAATAGTAGAACAAAAATTTTTATGTAGTAATATGTAACATTCTAACAACTATCATTTTGAACAAGTGTAAGTATAAAAGCTATTATAAGAAGTCCATAACAATTGTAATATAATATCACTGTTTTAAACCCTGTCATAAAATAGAACATAATACTAGGAAGGTAGAAGGCTTTAGTTATAATTTCTCTTCTTCTCTGGATCCCCACGGAATAAAGACCCAAAGAGACTTGAAGACAATTCTTTGATTCTATTGGTGCATCTGGAAAATTATAATAGTACTTGGTAGTTTGAATTTTTTCCAGCCATGAGTTCTAGAAATGCCTAAAGTGAATGATATATATTAAAATACTTGCTTGGGATTTAAAATGTAAGATGGTACGTGTTCTGTTAAAAAATTATTCTGGGGCTGGAGAGGGAATTATAGAATATATTCCTTACATTGTACATATGGATAGGTATTTCCTGAAAAAGTGAATGCCTTTAACTAATGACATTCTGCCAACAGATTGTTTTCACTCCTATTCTGCTTTGAGCAAGGGGATATAAAAGTTCATATAAAGTAATCCCCCCCTTTTTTATAACGGACTTAGCTAGGTTTCTGTTTTGAATTCATAAGAAGTAAGGCAAGTTTTTTTGTGTGGAATGAAAATGCTAGTGTCATAAATTCATCCAGTTTTTTCCCTCAGTGTATCTCTCTCCAGAATTGAGATTGTGCTGAAAATATGCTGAGATGACATTTGACACTTAGCTACTTTTGGTTTTAGATAACTCTGTGACATTAAGTCCTTTAAACTTTCTTCTATTCAAAAATAAAATAATTCTCTAACACCAACCACTACCTGCCCCTCTGCCAAAGAAATTAAATGAAAAGATTCAGCTGGTTAGATTTGACAGTGTATTTTTCACTGGCACATGTGACTTTTCTGTTACACAATAGGACTTAGATCAAAATGTTTACATGTTCCAGGTTTTTTAGGGGAGGGTAGAGGGTGAGGGACAGAGGCACTGGGAGAGAAAACATGCAAATATGATATCCACAGAGTTCTGCCACAATTGTATCTCCCCAAGGTAGGGGGAAGAATATCTTTGGACCTAAGTCTTTGCAGTAAAAGGCAGCAAATTCCATTTAACTGACTAGACCTTATAATATCATTTGCCTAATATTGTCTCTATTTCCCCCCCCCCTTTTTTATAAGGTAAATTCGAAGAAAAAGAAGATAGTGTGCCTAAGCTAGAGCAGCTCAACAGCCTGGGTTGTATGACTAATATGAATCTAGTTTTAACAAAACAAAATTTGCTACATATGGAACTGTTATTATTAGAAACCTTTCAATGGAACCTCTGCCTTCCAACAGCCGCCCATTTCATCGAGTATTATCTCTCTGAAGCAGTACATGAAACAGATCTTCATGATGGCTGGCCAATGATTTGCTTGGAAAAAACTAAACTCTACATGGCCAAGTATGCAGATTATTTCTTGGAAGTATCTTTGCAAGGTGGGTCACTGTGGACACAGTAAGTGACTTGTGAGTTTGTGACTTGTGTATTCTTTTGCTTAAGTTCATTTTTGATGTCTCCACAGATTATGCCTTTCTAAATTATGCACCTTCTTTAGTAGCTGCTGCATGTGTGGCTTCTTCAAGGATTATACTTCGTCTTTCTCCTACGTGGCCTACAAGACTGCATCGTCTTACTGCTTACTCCTGGGATTTCTTAGTGCAGTGCATTGAACGGCTATTGATGTAAGCGTCCTTGTTCTGTGTTTGTAATTTGTTATTAATGTTTTCCTTCATGTATAAGGGGCCCTAAAAGTAACTTTTCAAAAGTACAGAGCTTTTATGGTATTTGTTCTGACAGCTTTTACTGCCATGAATAAGCTCCTGTAAGAGCAATGCTCAGTGGAAGGGGAGTCCCTTTTGCTCTTATCCAGGTAGAGGCTGTCATTACTAGTATGATTCTGAGTATATGATAAGGAAAGGAGCTGCTGTTGTGTGAGCCCATGACTGTGCAGTCAGTCCAGGCAAATCTTGCCTCATTCTTCATTTCCACAATTTTAAATTATCAGGCCCCAGGACGTCACCAAAGTAGGAGCCACATTTAAGTGCTTATTGTGGACATCTCCCAAGCTGGACATTACCTTTAAAGCTCTAGCAGCAGCCAGTTCCCTAGGTTTGTACCAAGGGAAGGAGCCTTTAGAAGGGTAAGAGTGAGATCTCACTGTTGTTGAAATTATGGTCACAGTGACTGCTATCTAGGTACAGCATGCAATCCTTGGAGTCAGCTGTGGGGGTGTTGGGGGTATTGCATAACTTACTTACAAATTCTTCTCAAGTAACATTAACAGTTTCTTTTCAGCGCTCATGATAATGATGTGAAAGAAGCAAACAAACAAAGAGGACAAGCAGTACCTCAACCAGCTCAACTAAGTGTGTTCCAGACAACCTCCCAGCCCTCTCGGCCAGTTCACTTTCAGCAACCTCAGTATCTCCATCAGACACATCAGACTTCACTACAGTATCGCCATCCTGTATCAGAACAACCAAGCTGCCAGCAGATCGTATCTACCACACACACCTCATCTTACACACTACAGACATGTCCTGCTGGCTTCCAAACCAGTGTTCAGGGCCTGGGGCACGTGCAGACCGGTGTTGGGATGTCACTGGCAATACCAGTAGAAGTTAAGCCCTGTCTGAATGTTTCTTATAACCGGAGTTATCAGATAAATGAACATTACCCTTGCATTACTCCATGTTTTGAAAGGTGATTTTATGTGAAGGTTAACACCTGATCCAGACTTTCGTGACTTGAAGCTCTGGGACAAGCTTTTTGTAAACTCCTCTAAAGGAATTCAAATTGCATCAGAACTTTTCAGATAGCAGCACCAGGAAAACTGACTCACTTTGAATGCACCATAAATACCTGGGAGAACTAAGCAAAAACTTTTAACAGTATGTATGTCAAATTCTGTTAAAGCCCTATGTGACAGAAATTTCAGACCCTGGCTTATGGTCCAAATATTTCAAAAATATTCAATACAACAGAAAATTTGGACAGATTCCATCCATTTTGCAGTTCTGAAATTTGACCTGTGGTTAGGCTCTGGGCTTAATGTTGGTTTGTATGTCAGAAATTAATGTTTGTCTGTGGACTTGCCAAACAGTCTTTTTATGAAGGAAACATACAGTATTAATTTTTGAAGAGTTCCTTTTCTCTTTATTCTGTAGGTTTGAGTTATATTCTAATCCACAAATGAATTTTTGACTAAATTTAAAGTCATGAGTCACTATGCTATACTGATCTGTGCAGTAAAAAAAAAATTATGTGATTCTGTATAACTTCCTGTCACAGAGTATATAGGTACCTGGATTTATGTACTGAAATTAAGGACGGAGTAGATCTCTTAAAATCATGGCCATAAATTTTTGTTGTTTTTTCCCTAAGTGATCAACCTCAAATCTTTAGAATTAAAACACATTTAACTCAGGGAATTTGTACTACTTGGAAACACGTAACTGTAATGCAACATGTTTTGGGAATGTTATAGTATGAACTACCTTTATAACATAGATTAAATACTCCTGCTAGGATGTATTTTCAAATGAGAACATAATTGTAGCTTAGAGTGACTGAAATGGTGGTGTCTATCATTCATAATACATATATAGGTTTTGCATTTCTCAGTGCAATCATTGATTTATACTCAGATTTTATTTTACCCTAAAAAGTTTTTCAAGGGAAGGCATAACTGTAAAATGTCAGTACTAGAATTAAGTCCTGTAGGTTTATTTTTTAAGTGGAATGTGGCCAGGGTAGTTCTCAGGTTGTGCTAGAATAGCACCTTGTTACATGGAAGACAGGTTTTATAGGCAACCTTTGTATTCAGCTAGTCGGTATAAGCAGGCAGAGGTATTGATTACTAAATTGCAGTAACTATTTTCAGTAGATTGGCCCCAGAAACTGCCCTGGGACTTTTCACTGTACTGGTAATGAGTGGAAACAGCAATAATAAGTCATTATGGCAAGGGCAATTTGGGGGTAAAGAGTTTGGAGGGAGTAAACTTAAAAAGTGGAAAGAAAAAAAATCATGTAATAACTGAATTTATATTATACATTGTGCTCTTATCTGTGGAAGAACAGAGTTTGGTGTAGGGAAGCTTTCTGATTTAAAAATTAGTAAAGTGTGTCTTTTTTTGTATTTTTTCTTAAGATAGCACTTGAATAGAAGGGAAACTGCATGGCAGGTGCGTGACTGCCGCAGTATGCATTGAAGACAAACTTATTATAAAAGATGTGGGTATGCAGCAGGAGTCTCAGTAATTAAGCCAAATGGCTTCTGGTAGGAAGGGAAGGGACTCAAAAACTGATCCAGATGGCTCCAGTGGTAAGTGTGGGTGGGCTTCTGCCAGAGTGAATTCTTAGAGAATGTCCTTTCCTTAAAACAAAGGTAACTTTTATAATTAGAGTACATAGGGCATGATGTGGATTTGTTAGCCTGGTAGATAAAAATTTCAAAACCACTCAGGTAAGAACATTCACATGGCAGTTTTCAAGCATGAAAATTGTTTTATGGAAGTATCATCATTTTTCCTCTTTATAGAAGGCTGCTAATTGGATTTTGGTAGTTCTTACCTCAAGAGAACTTGAATTATTTGGGGGAAAGTGGGTTCAAAAGAATCTATCTTTCATATTCACATTCAGAACCCAGCAACCTGGAGTGTAATTTTCAGTATTTTAACTACCTCAATAATACTATGAATGTAAGAGACTGGGATGGAGATCCCAACTTGAAACAACAATTGGTGCCTATGGTAATTTAATGTATTGTCAAATGCTTTTATTGATTGGTTTAAATGTCATTCTTGTTATAGAATATGCCTTTTTAAAAAGCTTATAATAACACTTTCCCAGTTTGTATTTAAAAAAAGCTAAAGAACACTGGATTAATTTTTGGGGGGCAGAATAAAATAATTGGTTACTATTGCTGCATACCCAGGGTGGGATGGGATGGGGTGTTTGGAGAACCAGAACTATTTTTTAAACATTAGGTTTCTGTATAAATACAACTCACAACTGCTAGCTGTGGGGGATGCGGGTGGGGGGAGTTAATGCGGGTTTCATTTTGTTTAATTTATTGATTAGTCTTTAAAGTAGGTCTTTTTTTTTCCTGAGATTACCGGACCATCATTAAATGTGTACTGTGAAGAGATTAATGATATGTATAAAGGGCTTTACCAAAGTCCATTAAATACACACTACTAAAATACAGATTGCAAACCAAAATGTATCTGTCATGACATTAATTGCAAATGGCAAGTATGGTGCTAAAGTCTACACCAATGGAATTAGATGAGTGCTATGCACTTAATTTTAAAATAAAACTAGTTTTCAGTAAAATGGTTTTGGTGTTTTGTTTTAAAATATAAATTTGATGTACACTTGTAGCTTCATTGAACCATGTCATCACTTATGTCTGACTTGCAATCACAATTATATTGTACTTAGTAATAGCCCTCCAGATGTAAGAATACAACTGGAGTGGTAGGAAACATTGTCCATTCTTCATGTATTCCATATGAAGCATTAAAGCCCTCAAAATTACATTGGACACATAGGGCCTAAAATCAGTTATAAATATGTTGACAGTGTGTAATTTATTAAACAATGCAAGCTTCAGAAAATTTGAAGTCTGATTCAAATAAAAGTGGGGATGCAGAAAATAGTCATGGGTGTGAGAGGGAACAGGGTCAACAGTTGAGTGGTAATGTTCTGTTCACCTAAATATAAATATCATTTGCTACATAATTCAGCTTAAAACTTAGATATAATTTGCTTGAAAAGTAAAATTTTTAACAGGTTTGTATGTGTGGGTTAGGAATTCACACTCTTAAAAAACATCTTTTAAATTAGTCCTGAATATTGTCAGTTGCTTGGGCACAGTGGCAGGATTTAGCAACAGCCCTTAAGAGAGACAGTTAGTATACAGTGCTTTTTAAGATTAAGTTAAAAAAAAAACAAGGATTCCAAATCAGGACAGGTAACTTTACTTGAGGTGATTCTGAACCCATGTGACAAGTTTTTAATCACCAACAACTGTTCTCAAGCATGTGATAAGACTTAACCTTCCTAAAACAAAAACAAACTAAGCAAACAACTAGAACAGGAACAGAACCACAGAAATGGAGATCACATGGAGCAATGAGAGTGGGAGGAGGAGAGGGGGAAAGGGTACAGAGAATAAGTAGCATAGATAGTAGGTAGAAAATAGAGGGCAAGAATAGTATGGGAAATGTAGAAGTTAAAGAACTCACAAGTATGACACATGGACATGAACTAAAGGGGGGAATGTGAGTGGGAGAGGGTGTGCAGGGTGGAGGGGAGTGAAGGGGGGAAAATAGGACAACTGTAATAGCATAATTGATAAAATATATTAAAAAAATGACTTAACCTTCCTAGCCACAAACAGCTTATATTTAGCTCAATATGACTAATGCACTTGAAGCTATTCTAATGGTATAGTCTGGAACTCAGTTTAATATTATCCTGGTTCCAGGATCAATCAATATCCACTTTAAAATCCCTAGAGTTTAAAAAAAAATAGGTATGGTCATTTGAAAGAAAGCATCAAGACCAGGCTCTGGCCTCCTATGGGAAAGACCTGCTGCCACCCTACCTCACTGCCACTGTTGTGTGTGTGTGTTTTGGGGTTGTTTTTTTTAAAGACTTTTTTAAGAGCAGTTTTAGGTTCACAGCAAAATTGAGAGGAAGGTAGAGATTTCCCATGTACCCCTGGGCCCAGCACATGAACAGCCTCCTCCATTTTCAACATCCCCTCAACAGGGTGGTGTATTTGTTAGAATTGGTGAATCTACATTGACTCATAATCACCCAAAGTCCATAGCTTACATTATGGTTCAGTCTTGGTGGTATATACATTTGGGTATTCATCATGGTTTCATACCAAGTATTTTCATGCTAAAAATCCTCTACATCAATTAATCCATCTCCATGAAACTCCATTTGTCTCCACACACCACCTTTCCCTCCCCCTAACCCTTGGCCACCACTGATCTTTTTATTGTTTCCATAATTTTGCCTTTTCCAGTGTCATATGGTTGGGATCATAATATATAAGCTTTTCAAATTAGTTTTCACTTAGCAATATGCATTTAAACTTCCTTTATGTCTTTTCATGGCTTGATAGCTCTTTTTAGTGCTGAATAATATTCCATTGTCTGGGCTGATCACTGTTTATCCAGTTACCTACTACTGAAGGACATCTTGGTCATTCCAAGTCTCAGCAATTATGAATAAAGCTGCTATAAACATGTGTGCAGGTATTATTGTACACATTAAGTTTCAGCACCTTTGGGAATATACCAAGGAGAGAGATTGCTGGGTCACAGGTTAAGAGTATGTTTAGTTTTATAAAAAATTGCCAAACTATCTTACAAAGTGGCAGTATTTTGCATTCCTACCTACAACGAGCATTCCTGTTGTTCCACATCCTCACCTGCATTTGGTGTCAGCGTTCCAGATTTTGGCCATGCTAGTATGTGTGTAGTGGTATTTCATTTTAATTTGCATTTCCCTGATGACAAATGATGTGGAACAACTTTTCACATGCTTACTTGCTATGTGTATATCTTGGTGAGTTGTGTATGAAGGTCTTAAGCCCATTTTTAGAGTTGGGCTGTTCATTTTCTTACTGATTTTTAAGAGTTCTTTGTGTACTTTGGATAACAATCCTTTATTAAATGTGTTTTTTTGCAAATATTTTCTCCCACTCTGTGGCTTGTCTTCTGTTTCTCTTCACATTGTCTTTTGTAGAGAAGTTTTTAATTTTAATGAAGTCCAGCTTATCAATCACTACTTATAGGAGGGAGTTACAGACACTAAAAGTCTGGCTAAATAGAGAACTGAGGGTATTACACAATCAGGGCATTATAAAGATAATGGAATAAAAATTAAATCTTCCTAATTATCAAAAGAAATACTGAAAACACAGCAGGCTGTCTATGTAATAGTAAAATATTTTTAAAAGGGGTAAATTCAGAAGGTATAGCAAAATAATGTGATGAACTAAGACCAAACATATCAAATAAAAAATGTAAAGGGGCTAATAAACTCAAGCTATTAAAAGAAAACAAGTCCTCCCTGGCTTGGTAGCTCAGTTGGTTAGAGCATCGTCCTGATATGCCAAGGTTGCAGGCACATGCTAGAATCAACCAACGAATGCATAAAAAAATAAGTGGAACAACAAATCAATCTCTCCCTCTCCCTCTTCCTCTCTAAAATCAATCAATAAAAAAAAATTTTAAAAGAAAAAATTTCAGACTAAATCACAAGGCAAAATTCAAGTCTATGCTACATAAAAGACCTACAACAAAAATATAAATTGATTCAGAAGACTTGAAGATACAAGGACGAGTAAAACTACTCCAACAAAAAGCATCTTAATAAAAGATAAGGCCAAATGCAGGCCCAAATGTATTAACCCAAACTGGGTAGGGGTGGGACACTCTATAATGCTAAAGGTGATAAAGATGAACAGTTATGAATATCTGTGGATCAAATACCCTTGCAACAATATTAAGTAAAAACTAGAGGCTATAAAAGGTAATAAACTACAAGTAATTAATCTCTCTTAGACCATGACAGATCAGTAATTAAAAATGAAGATACAGAAAACCTCAACATATTATGGTGATCTAATTGACATATAGTGAGAAATTCTGAGAAGGGAAATGGTACAGATCTGGCATAACTAAGATGGACAAGATAATAAAGGACATGACAGACAGATCCTGTCATGCCTCTTGGCGCATAAGATCAGAACACACTGACTAGTCTCTGCTAGCTGCCAGCTAATCCTGCAGCTCACTCAAGGAAAACAAAATCTTATGTTTTCCAAACTGCAAAAGTATTCCCATTTGTGCCTTCATTACATGAAATTAATCCATTACTGGTTTTCCCTGTGCACAAAAAATAGTGTACTAATAACTAACAAACTATATCTACGTTTTCTTAGGTAATATTAAACTCTAATGCAAACTTTCACAAAACTTGACTATGTATTAACCTATAAACAAAAGCAATCAATCCCCCAAAAGTAGAATTAACATAGACAACATACTATCATGAAAATGAAGTGAACAAAATATGTAGAATAGGACTCAAATCCCAAGCCATCCTTCTATTAAATAAGATATCCAAACCAAGATTTCAGAGTATCTGTAAAATCACTATAATGAACATTCTACACATCAGGAACTCAGGATAAAACTAAAATAGTGCTCAAAAGAAAATTAATCTGCAACTGAAAAAATCTGGGAAAGAACAAGTAAACCAAACAAAAACAGAAGGAAAGAAATAAAAGCAGAAATTAATGAACTATAAAAGAGAAAATGAACAAATACATGAATACATGCAGCTATGCAAAAGAAAAGCAGAGTTTAAAAATTGGAAAGGGGGATGCTAAAATGACCACTATTTGCAGATATGATTGTAAAACCTGGAAACTCTAAGATAATCAACTGAAAAACTATTACAGACAGTAAGTGAATTCAGTAAAGTGGCTGGGTACCTAATTAAATTAGTTTTCATATATACACACAACTACCAGTTTTATTTAATAAAAGATATACTCAATTACAACAGCTACCAAAAGAAGATAAAATACATAGCAATAAATATAAAAAATGTGCAAGAGCAGCATGAAGAAAACTGTTATAAACGCTTGTAAGTCACACTATAGAGCACAGGAACAAGGCACCCCATATTCTTGGACAGGAAGCACTGACATCAAAATGGTATCAATTCTTATTAAATTGATATATAAATTTGCAATCTTTCAAGCTAATTTTTAAAAATGAACTAAACCAGCAAGAATAACCAGGAAATGCTGGCATCTGACAGATTTAAAAATATTACAAACAACCAATAAATAGAACACTATGGGTACTGGCAAATGAGTTGACAGATAATTCAATGAAACAGAAAAGAAATTCCAAAAATAAACCTAAACATGTGGAATTTAATATGTGATAGAAATGGCATCTCAAGTCAGTGGAAAAAATATGCATTTTCAATAAATGGAGTTGAGAAGCCACCTAGAAAAATAAAATTGCCCTCTTCTCAAAAAAATTAATTCTGATGAAAGAGAAGTCATGAAAGAATTATTTCATAACTTCATAACAATTATAACTTAGAAAAGGGGATAATTTCTCCAAGTATGTATGACAAATCTAGAAGCCATAAAATTTAACTATATAAATTAATTATTTTATGTGGCAAAATCACCATGATTAAAGTTAAAAGACAAATAACAAAATGGGTAAAATATTTGCAACTAATCTCCAGGCAAGGGCTAATTTTCTTAACATATAAAAAGGGAATGATATAAACAGTTCCCAGAAGAAAAAAAGTCTCAGAAGATACTTAACCTCATTTTAAAGTTTGATAAGAGTGTTGGGGTGGGAAGGTTTCATCCTACTTTACTAATCAGTAAAGTATCTGTAGAATCAGGTTCTACAGAGGGCAATCTGGCAATATGTATCAAAATTATAAATGCAAAAATATATATATTTTTAATCCTCACTCAAGATATGTGTTTTACTGATTTGAGAAAGAGAGAAATGGAAACAATGATGTGAAAGAAATACTGATGTGAGACAGAAACATCGATCAGCGCCTCCTGTACACACCCCAACTGGGGATTCAACACACAACCTAAGTATGTGACCTGACCAGGTATTGAACCTTCAGCCTTTTAGTGTACAGGATGACACTCCAACCCCCTCAGCAACCTGGCCATGGCGCCTCTGCATTTCTTTATCACAGCAGGTGGATTTGGTTATAAGGCCTAACAACATAGCTAGGAGACCAAAGATCTGGATTGCTCTCCCAGGAGTGTTTCTTCAGGACATTTTCTCTTACAAGCAACTAAGATATAAGAGTAAGAACCAAACGTTTGCATAAATATTCATGTGATTTCTGCAGTACCTTTTTCTCTAAAAGTCATCTACTAGGGATTAAGGAGAGTGGTAGTTATGACCAAAACACAAGAGATGTAAGAGAGGTGACTTGCAGTCCAAATGTTTTCAAGTTCAGTTCTTGTAAAAGAACACGATCTTATGTTAATGCATGCATCTAGAATTCACAGAGATTCCTCACAGTTTCATCTCATTTGAGAAATTTTATAAAATATAAGAGGAAAGCATTAACATTTTAGATAAAAACTGAAGCCCAAAAGTTTTGAGTATTCAGAGTCATACAGGTAGTTAGTGGCAGAATGACAGTAAAGCCCAAGTATGTCACCTGTGGTGCACTAATGAATTGTGACAATCCTTCATATTGGCTGCAATTTGAAAGGAGAAAAGAAAGGATAAAATTATTTATTTTATATTTTCCAGTTTTTCCCTAGTTGTAGAATCTTAATGTTGAAACATTAAAGTCATCTAATTCAATCTTCTTATCCAGAATTAGTAGGTGATGAAATCAAATTAGTGGGTCACAGTTAGAAAATTGAATAAAAAATAATTGAAGAGAACATATGAGTGCATTGCCCTAGTAGGTATATGTATTGTTCTATTAAACATATTTATAACTCTAGGTCACAGTCATAAAAGCTTGAAAAAACTACTTAATACCAGGTTCTCAAAGAACAGGGTGCATAAAAATCATATGGACCTCAGGATCAAAAGATTTGATTCAGCAAATCTGGAATGGAAATCAAGAACCTGCATTTTTAAAAGGCACTACAAGTGATTTTGATGCAGTGAGGCTGTACTTTGAAAAAACATGCTATGTATAATGCAGAAATGAAACACTTTTACTGTGCATGCATATCTTTTCCAGAAGGTGCCAAAGGCAGCCAGTGACATCCCTTTGCCACTGAAAACCACCTTAGTACAGAAGGGCAGGGCTAGGTGGCATGTGGTTGCAGCCTGCAGCCTTGTCCTTGTACTGACCTGCAGATTATTCCTGTACCTACCTCCATTCCTAGATATGACACTACTGCGTTAGCAATGTGGTCAGGAAGGGTGACACCACAGCTAAGATCTGGATCTCTTACATAGTTAAGTGGCTTTAGAAGTGACCTAGTGTCAATATGTGTCCTCAAGTGCTCTTTGATTTTTATTATTCTTAACACAATTGCTTTATTAAATATGACCAAACTAGGCTTCAGGCATTGTTCTTGGCATTAGAGGGAATATAAAATCAACTGTCCCAGAAGTGTTCAGAGACAGACACGACCACTATTTGCCATCCCAACATATCCAGGTCAAAAAAGTGACTCAGTAAATAATTTATTTGCTTTTGGCAAAGGTGTCTCATGGATTTCAGCTACCAGGGAGGTAGTTTGTTATAATCTGAGATGATGGGACCATATCCTCCAATTTCACACCTTTCTTTCTTCTTTCACACACCTGAGGGAAGAAATAGAATTCATCTCTTTAAGGACTTATAACCTCAACTGGTCCTACTATCAAGGCACCCCAAAATATTATGTCATCCTAGAAACCATGATCTCCAAGAAGTATTAAGAAATACTGAAGGGTTTGTTTGGGTATGTGCTGCTGCAGTATGAGCAATTAGTGTATTCAGGAAGACTCATGTTTTACTGGACGATTCCTCCCAGTGAGGTGCTAAGTGAAATTATAGAGGCTTTGAATTATAGAGGCTCAAAGCCCTCCCTTATTTACAAATCACTTTAGGGTAGCCAGCCCACTAGGTATATTTCACTGGTTCAAAGAAAACTAATTTATTGGGTGGGCCCAAAAGTCCTTTTAGTTTTTTCCATAAAATAAAAGGCACACTTTTCATTTTCACAAACAACTTTATTGATTTGGATATTTTGAGTATGTCGACTATACCCTATGTGGTATGATAATGATTGTTCTCAATTAATGTCTCAATTTGATTGCTATCAACCTCAACTGGTCTACCTGACCATGGAGCATCACATCCAATGAGAAATCTCCAGTATGGAACTTTGCAAACCATTTTTAACATGTTTGATTGGTCACAGCATCTTCTCCATACACTGTACAAATCTTTTTTGTGTGTTTCAATTGAGTTTTTACTTTTCTTGAGCTAATAAAGAATAATATACTGAACATGTTGCTTATTTTCTTCCATCTTTAGTATTAAAATGGTTATACATAAATTCACCAATTTTGATGTTTTTTTAATGCATGTTGATATGACAGCTGTCACATTACAATCTAACCAAATTGTTTCGAATGTAGTTAAAGACCACTAAGTGCTACTAGACCCATCTTATGGGAAAAATCAAATGAACTTTTTGGCCAACCCAATAATTTTACTATCTCAAAGGAAGTTTGTCAAAGGATTTAACATAGTTATTGCTGGGTAGTGGGACTGTGGATGATTCTTATTTTTTTTCTGTTGTAACTTTGTGTTCTCACGTGTTCTACAGTAAATATGAATTACTTTTACAATTGGTAAAAATACATTTTAAAAAATTGTGTTAAAATAAAAAGCTTCTCAGGTGCCCTGGCTGGCATAGCTCAGTGGATTGAGCACAGGCTGCAAACCGAAGTGTTGCAGGTTCGATTCCCAGTCAGCGTACATGCCTGGGTTGCAGGCCATGACCCCCAGCAACTGCACATTGATGTTTCTCTCTCTCTCTCTCTCTCTTTTTCCCTCCCTTCCCTCTCTAAAAATAAATAAATAAAATCTTAAAAAAAATAAAAATAAAATAAAAATAAAAAGCTTCTCAGATCAAGGAGACTGACTTCTTTATTGTGCCTCAAAGAGGCTCTAAATGAAACCCTTGGTATTTATGCAGTCTTCTTTTTAATAGGATCCTATTCCAATGTTCAAAGATACTTTATTACTGAACAGCAAACAAATGTAGGACCAGCAGTCTTTTGAGAAAGTCATTTATAGATTCAAAAACTATAATACATCAACTTCACAATAAATCAATTCATTTTATAACTCATAGACACTGGGTGACCCAAAACACTTCCATTAAAAGCCAGTGGTCTCTAGTTCACATAACAATAGCACTTCAAAGAAAGTCTTCCAGAAGATGGTGAGGTTTCTTCCATTTTGGGGAGAACACAATTTCAGCATAAAAGAGCTTTGGAGGAGAGGAATCTAACAAACAGACACATGTTCCCACTATTTTCAAGCAAAATAGTTTTTGTCAGAACATGATAAAGTCACAGTACATAAACAAGTAAATAAAACCTGTTCTATTTGTTCTGTAACAGTATAAAATCATGTTATTTTCATCCAAATAGAAAGACTTACTCTCTAAATCCAAATACTGCAATCTAAATCCCCTATTGCCACCCTCATATGCCTAAGATTTGGGATGCGCTCTTCTGTGGGCATTTGAAGAGTAGTGTGCTCAGTGGAAGCTGTTCCTGTATGAGTGTCTCCATGTCTTTGGAAGAGTCCCATGTATCTGGTTAAGTACTCTGACTATAGATAATAAGTCAAAGATTTTAGTAGACTTCTCAGAATCAGATTAAGTCTCTCATGAAATCCTTTAGAGATGATCAAACAAAGTTCCATCAATTCAAAATGTCGACACTACCAGTTTTCTAAAAGTCTAGGTGGCCCTGGCTGGTGTGGCTCAGTGGATTGAGTGCCAGCCTATGAGCCAAAAGGTCACTAGTCTGAGTCCCAGTCAGGGCACATGCTTGGGTTGCAGGTCAGCTCCCTGGTTTGGGGCATGCGAGAGGCAACCACACATTGATGTTTCTCTCCCTCTCTCCCTCCCTTCCCCTCTCTCTGAAAATAAATAAGTACAATCTTTTAAAAAAAATAAATAAAAGTCTAAGTGCTGTGGAGACAAGTACTACAATGGGGTTGGTGGGGAGATTCAAGGCAAAATATTTTTTAAATAATCATACCTACATATTTTAAATTTTCACTGACTAGCAGAGTAGAAAAAGTCCATGTTGACATTTTGTTCACCAAAGCACTATCATCACCAAAAGTAGATTTAACCTCAGAACCCGATACAGAGTATTGAAGAGCATCACAAAAGAGATCTAAAATGACAATATTGTAAAGATTTAGGGGATGGTATTTTTGTAGTTACTAATAAAAGTTTCCACTGATGCACTGAGACTCTTTGGACTTTAAACTCTGGTTTCTCTCATTGTAACTTAACAAAATTATTCCTACATAAGGCCCCTCCCAAGCAGGCAGTTGTGGCTAAGCTTAGTGTCTAGTTTAATTCCAGAGCCTATTCTGCAGCTCAGAGAACATCTGAACAGGGCGATGGACAAGAAGTGTATGGCACAGACTGCATTAACTACTGTAACATCCATTCTTTTATTCAGCCTCAGTAACAGAACCCAAATTTTCCACTGGGTACATGGTCACATAGCTGAGTGACTTTCTCAGCCTCCCTTTCAGTAGGTATAAACATGTGAACTAAGTTTCAGCCAATAAAATATAGGTGGAAGCAAAAGTTTGAGACTTCCAGAAAGTCTTTAGAAGGGAGGAGGAGAAATGAGCCCAAGGCCACACAGCTTGATAAACAGTGGAGCTGAGATTCAAACTCATAACTGTGTGATTCCACTACAACCTAAGGGCCTGCTGAACTCTTGAGCAGTTTGGCAAGCTTAGACCTGCAAGCTAAGAATAATTTTGCCTTTTTAAATGATTGAAAACAAACCTAAAGAAAAATATTTTGTAACAATTTCAGGGTCCATAAATGGTTTCATTGGAACACAACCACACTGATTCATTTACATATCATCTGCAGCTGCTCTTATGATGACAAGAGTTGCAGAGTTGTGACATAGTTCTTACGGCCTACAAAGAACAAAATATTATCTGGCTCTTCACAAAATGTTACTGATCCCTGACCTAAAGAAAGGGAAGCGATTTGGTGCAATAAGGGTGTGTGGTTGGGTAGGGATAGTATAACTCTGGTGGCCATTCTAGAAGTCCAAGTGGGCCAGGGAATAGTTGTCTAGCAAATGTCAGTTGCTTATAAATATTTGTTCACTTCACAAAAGTATGGCCAATAAACACATAAAAAGATCCTTGGCATCAGTAGCCATCAAAGAAGTGTAAATTAAAACCATAATGAGACCACTACACACCTACTGGAATGGCTACATAGTGTTGGTGAGAATGTGGAGCAGTAGAAACTCTTAACACATTGCTGGTGGAAATGTAAAATAGTAAAACCACTCTGAGAAAACAGTTTGGCAGTTTATTTTTCTTTCTTTTTAAAATTTATTTAACTGATTTTTTTGAGAGAGAGAGGAAAGGGGAGAGAGAGAGAGAAATATCTATTTTGTTTCACTTATTTATGCACTCATTGATTCATTCTTGTATGTGCCTTGACCAGGGATTGCCTTAGTATTCAGAACAACACTCTAACCAATGTGACGCAAGGCATTCATTCCACTCCTAAGTATTTACCCACGAGAAATGAAAACATATGTCCAAACAAAGGCCAGCCAAAAAACTGGAAACCCAAATGTCCATCAATAGGGGAATAGACCCCCAAACTACGGTGTATCCATACAGTGGAACAGTACTAAGCAGTAAAAACAAGCTACTGATATATCAAGAACGTGGCTGAATTTCAAAAACATGACACTGAATGAAAGAAAACCCACAAAAGAACACAATGTATAATTCTCTGTTTGAAATTCTAGGAAAGACAAGTTTATTCAGCAATGTTAGATGCTCGTCTCCTGGGTGTTACTCTCAATGCTTGCTTTGGCCAGGGACTTGGGTGTGGGAAGGACTGAGTGGGAGTGGCACAAGGAAGCCTTATAGGGTAAAGGAAATGCTCTCTCTATATCTTCATTGTGATGATGGTTACACTAAGTATGTATATATTTGTCTGAATTTACCGAATGTATGCATGTTATTGTATGCAAATTATACCTTAATAAATTTGATTTTCTTAAAAAGGGGCCCACTTCTTAAGGATCCAATAATGGGGAGGGCACTGATGCTGAGTGTGGCTGTGAATTCACACAGCCATAGGAAATTGCCACAGACAGGAAAACATAAAAATGTTGCCTGCTCAACAGATTCTTCTGAGCCTAAAAGGAAGAGGCCTCAGACAAAGTCCCCTTTGTAGGCTCCTTGAGATGGGGCCTATCTACTTAAGACATGGAGGCCCCAAATTCTATCCTCTATTAAGGGTTACAAAGGTACTGGAAATGAGGCCTTTAATACTTGGACATCAGAAATTTCCTTAAACTGAATTAAAAGTACTTACATCCTCTTATTCAATTCCTCTGAAGGCACCAAACAGCAAGCTGACCACTTGGAGTCTTCATCTAGCTTAGCTAACATTTCCTTTCAGTGTTTCTGTTGAACATAAAATGACAGTGACCACAAAAGAAGGACATACATTTACCAACACTAAAAATTAAGTCACTTGGTTTGACAATAAGTCCTTGTGGAAAACTTGACTCACTAAGATGGCTGGGCCTAATCAATCAATCTTGTCTTTGCTGGCAATTAAGTTTGGTTTAATCTCAGCTAAGTCAAAGCGGTCATCCTTCTTCATTTGAAAAAAACCCACACTACCTGTTTGAAAGTAAAAAATGTAACTTTCCAGCTGCTCTGAGACTTAGAGACAAAAGTCAATAAAATCGGCACCTCTATTACCCTTTGGGTAAAATTTGGACAATGGGAAGGTTGTGCCCTGGTCCCTGAAGGTATGCAGAGACAGAGGCAGAAAGGTCTTATCTGGGGATGGTCAGAGGGAACAGATAGAGTGCTTTAGGAATAACAGAAAAACTTCTCTGAGGCCTCTCCCACTGGAAGCCTGGGGCAACACTGACGAGATAAGGATAGTGAGGGCAGCCATGGAGGGATTTACGTTAGCAGAGATCTCTATTTTCAACCCTTTCCAAAAGTAAAGAGGAAAAGCTGCTTAATTTTGCCTCTCCATTGGATTAGAACTTTAAAACATTTTTAAAATACCAGTTTCAAATACAACCAAGATAAATCTGAGAGAAATTGTAATAAAATATGATGACTCAAATCCTAAAACAATGAGACAAATAGGAAAACACCTTTAAAGAAAGGTACTTGGGACAACAGGAAATGATAGACATTTATGTCTGATCTGGGTTGAGCAGCAGTTGTGCAAACCCGAGATAAAGGATGGGATGCTGATCCCTGGGAGCAAAGAGGGAAAGGGGCTTATGTAAGGCCTCTCAGGAGGCTTGCCCAACTGCAGAAGAGAATGGGATTTATAAAGCAATAAATTGAATATATTTAGTGTAGAATTCTACTGAGTGAGGGTTTCAGATCTTGGGATAAGTTTTCAAAAGAAGCCAATAAAGAATGAAGTAGTTCATAAACAAAAGAGCTCATGATGGCCCCTGGCAATAAGAAACAGTGCCAAAGCAGGAAACCCAAAGTAGTGTCAAAGGTAATTTCAAAGGAGAAAATGTATTTGCAGAATGTTGCACATTATGGAAGAAGCAGTGTAGCAAATTAGAGCACAGGCTTCAATTTACAAAGTGAATCAAAACTGAGTTCTAACCCAAACTCCATTATTTATCAGCTGTCTAGCTTTGGGCAAATTATTTAATCTCTTTGAGCCTTGATCTCCTCTCCATAACACAAAGTTGTTAAAAGGATTAAATGCATTGGGGCTGCCCTGTCAGGTGGTTCAGTTGGTTGGAGCATCATCCCTGTACACCAAAAATTGTGGGTTCAATCACCAGTCAGGTTGCATACGGGAAAACACCAATTGATGTTTCTCTCTTTCTCTTCCTTTCTAAGATCAATAAAAATATCCTCTGATGAGGATTTTAAAAAATCAATTGATGCAAAAAAAAAAGCACTTATATTGTGCTTGACACATGTTAAATGCTCAATAAATAGTACCTATTAGTATTAGTAACAATTAGCATCTCATAGGCTGGAAAGAGAGCAATAGTGCCATCATGGATGCTATTTGCTTGAAGAATGGTGAAATATCATATTAGGAATTACTAGTAAATGGTATTTGGATTCATTAGTACCTTCATCACTTACCTGTCTTTTGATCATTCATTTTTCATTCATTCAACAAATACCATTCTAGTGACTTTTATGTATCAGGTAATATGCCAGGCACTGGATACACATATACTGCACCCTTGATTCAGGTTGTACTGGAGAAGGTTCCTATTTTGAGAACCATTCTATAGAGAGTAAATAGACTTTATTAACTAACCCCAAGTCTCAATTTCTTCTCATTGACACTTTTTAAAATTGTGTGTAAATCTCTATTAAAGCTGGAGATACTGAATAGTTTCATTTATAGTGTCAGTCTCCTCCTACATTGATTGTTTTTACACTTGATTTATCAGGGACTCCACCTGATTTATCAGGAACTCCATTCTTTCCATCCTCACTCCCATTTTCTGTTTTTCTGTTACCCAGAAGATTAGTTTATTTCATCAAGTCCCAAAGAGCTGAAATTTCTTCTATTAGTAGGTAATTTTCCATGTTCCTTTAACCTTCTTTATTTGAAGTAATTCAAATATATTTTCTTAATATGCTGTCTGACAAAAGTGATTTTTTAATCCTCACCCAAGGACATGCTTATTCATTTTAGAGTGAGGGGAAGGGAGAGAGGGAGGGAAACATTGATGTGAGAAACAGCAATCTCCTCTTGTATGCGCCCCAACCATTGACCAGCTGCCTCTCCTAAGCATTGTAACAGGGAACCTCTTGTACACACCCCCACTGGAGACCAAACCCGCAAGCCAGCCATGTGTCCTGACCCACGTGCCCTGACCAGGAATTAAACCCATGACCTTTTGGTTGACTGGACGATGCTCCAAGTGAGCCACTCCAGCTAGGGTGACAGGAGTAACTTTTTTGATGAACCTATTAAATCATGAGCTTTAAAAATGTGTGGTGCATTTACAGAATATCAGGATTATTTATTTTTAAACTACATTGTCCATAATCTCTCTCTGCTTTTAGTGTTCATTGCCCTGACCCAAGGGTTGTTAGAAGACAACAGAGGCATTGCAGTGGATTCTGTTTTTACCTATTCTAGCATCCATTTCCCCCTTCCTCCTAACAAAAGCTTAAATTTTTATGTACCCCTCCCTACCAAACATTTGAAGATTACCCTCAACTATGAAATGGGACTTAGATGTCTAAGAGTAATTCATTTTCTTTGCCAGTGCTTGGTTCAAAAATGGGCATAGACCACTGTGTTCTTTGAGGGTAAGATATTTTTTGTTAATTTTCCAACATCCTTTTCTGATAATACCTCGTGTTTTTGGCTTTTCTAGCCACAGCAGAACCACTTAAATAATTGTCTCCATGCCCTGGCTGGCATAGCTCAGTGGATTGAGCGCAGGTTGCGAACGAAAGCATCGCAGGTTCGATTCCCAGTCAGGGCACATGCCTGGGTTGCAGGCCATGACCCCCAGCAACCGCACATTGATGTTTCTCTCTCTTTCTCCCTTTCTCCCTCCCTTCCCTCTCTAAAAATAAATAAATAAAATCTTTTTAAAAAATTGCCTCCAGAGAATGGTCTATAACTCTGTAATAATTCCTACACCCCCATGCTGGTTCTAACTGAAAGTACAAACCTCAACATGCGTACTATAAATATCACTGAGATTTCTTTAGTTACATTATCTTACTACACTTGCCCACTCCAAAACTTGAACACTTTTCTGTCCATTCACACTTTCAAAAATATCTTTAAAGTACAGTTTATTTCCATCATTCATAACTCACACATATTTAATTCTATTTGTACATTTGGAAGGATGGTATGCTTAATTACCTCAAGAATGCTAAAAAATATAATAAAGGTATCAAATAACATTTTTTTCAACTTTTGTTAAAATAAAAGTCCCTATATATGAAACAGTTTGCTTATACACCAGCTAGTTTAAAAATATAAAACCAGTTTGATTCCTTATTAGGTCATTATGCCAGTATTTCAGTTTTCACTCTAACTCTTCAAGGAACAAAATATACTCCACACCTAATCACAATCAACATAGTGAGCAGAAAAGATGCTGGCAAAGAATAACTACTGTTTTATTATAGTATACTTCTGAATGCAAAAACTATTAGCAAACAATTTTTGCACTGTTGATACTATTATATTGTGTCAAATTTAAGTCAAATACAATTTTTTAAAATGTTGCATTTGTAATATAAAATAGGGATTTTATTTTACATTGCTCAGCAAATATTTACTGAGCATTTACTATATGCTAGGCATTGTTCTGGGTATTGGGATTCAAAGGTGAAAAAGACAGAAAGACACTTATGTTTTATTTTGAATCATTTACATTAAAAATACATAAACCTGCAATAAAATGTTATAAAGTCACAGATGTCATAGTGTTAAGGTTGAAAAGCCCAGATATGACCAATTTATGTCATCAGTTACAAGATACACATTATTTAATATGTATTTTGACACCTCTGAAATCAGCCACATCTTACAACATGGGCAGACCAAACCAGCAATAGAGATGGAGTTGTCACAGCCTGTGTATGTGCATCAAAACTTACTAAACAAGTGTCAGAGGCTTGAAAGAAAAACTGAGAGACAATGGTGAAGCCACCCTTTTAAGGATTCTTGATAAATCAAGATTCAATAAAATACAGGGTCTGACAGAAGTAACGCCACTGAGTGTGGTTGGTAGGGTATGTGAATATCTCACAAAAGGTGGGCAGCAATTTGAACATTTCACCTAAAATGTCGTATGCTGTGCTTAAGTATGATATTGTTATGTCACAGAATTACATGCTTATGATTTTGTAATAAAAGATTTGGTACAGATTACCAGCTCATAAAAAAGGGGTGTTATTTGTACTGGACCCTGTATGAGTTTATAGTGTTCCTTTCTCATACGAGAGGGAAAATTCTGAGAGGTTGAATGACGCTCTAACTCAAAAAACAGGGTAGGCAGGACCAGAGTCCAGGTCTGAGTTCACTCTTATGCTTTTTCTACCCAAAGTCTTCAGTTATATGGAAGAAAAGGCTCTAGAATGTGGCTCCAGTTTTGGAAACTATGGACAAGGAACTTAATCCCTCTTTGCCTCAGTTTTTCCATCTATAAAGCAGCTACTTTAATAGACCTAACTGATGATGTTACTGTAAATATTCAGTGAGATAATGTGTGTATAAGACTAACACAGATACTTACCTACAGTAAGTGCTCCATGAAAATTAACTATATGAGATCCAACTTTACATTTGGTAGGAAATAATTTAAAGTGATCCTCAATTATCCCATAGACATTGCTCACAACATGAACCCCACATATAGTTATTTGTCTAAAGTACTAGAAAACTAACGAGATTGGTCAAGTGTTTGAACTAATTAATACAATAAAAATTTCCACCTTAACAAATTTTGTCCAGGTCCATATGGTATTGTGCCAAGACCTTACCTGAAAGAAAACATACAAAAAGTAAGAACAAAGGCTATCTATGACCATCAAGTTACTAAGTACTCTTCTGTGTACAAATGCATTTATAAACACAATCTCAAGTAACACATCATCAAAAAAACACATTTAAAATGTATGAACAGATCGTTTATTTTTGCTTCCTTTAAAATATGATTACAATCTGTATACCTAAGTGCTAGTAAAACAGTCACAAGTTTTGGAGGTTAAAAGTTACCACAGGGAGACATGATTTGGCCAGAAAGTAAGAACTTGTTAGTGACTGATTCCTTACTTTATATATGTCTTAGAACACTTTTTCATCCATTACCAACTCAGAGCTTTACACATAGTGTGTAGTTGTATACAAGTAAATCCCAGGTGCTTTCTAATGTCATTTTGTTTTGTGTTCAAAGTATGGAATGTTCTGAGAAGGAGTCAATGTCTAGATTTATTTTCTTCTTTTTTTTTAAGCTTTTCTAGGTGAGCTTTTCTAATTGTGAGAGTTTAAGTGAAAATCTAAATTGTTACACACTGTATTATATGGAGTTGATCTGCCTTAAATATAGTTTCCATATTTTCTTTCTATAAGAAAGTAATGTGTATTACACAGTGTAACATTTAAAAAGTAATTTTAACTACCAGGAAATGTTAATGAATCAACTAACATTTTTTTATTTTACCTTATGACAAAATTTATAGGGTACCCTGAAGTGAGGAAAACTAACTCTAATTAATGTATCTACATCTATAACAAGAATTGTTGCATTTTCAGAAGCTTCCGGCAATTAAAGCCTTATCACAAGGTACAATTCTGGTGTCTACAAGTTTCAGCATGACGACTACACAGTAGCAAAGTTCTACTCCCTGAGCATTTAAAATAGCCTATTTTCTCAAAATATTCATTTTTTAATCTTTTTGGTAAAATCTCAGCATTATCCAAACTTAAAATAAACCTTAAAAGAAAGCCCACCACATAATTCAACTGTGAGTTTCCCCTATTAATTCCGAAACTTTAACATTATCAGTTTGCTTGTCTGGGATTAAAAAGAAAGAAACCACCACCACCACAAACTGCACTACACGAATCCTAGTTATTTTCCAGGATCAAAGTCTACTGTTGAGCGTGGTTTGGTCGGTTGGGAAGAGCCCTATGACCAACTCTGAGACACCCCCTGCGAGGAGCATCTCAGGCGAAAACGACTCCGGACGAGGCTCCAGTTGGGCGGCGGCAGGAGCTGCACTTAGTGGGGCGTCCCCGGGTCCTCCGCCACCCGGCCATCCTCGGCGCGCCCCACCTCTCTCCGTCCTAGCTACCCTCCCCTTCCTCCGAGACCAGCCACCATAAGCCCCATCCTCTCCAGGGCTGAGGGGAATGACCGGAACAAAAGCCCGACGCACCAAGAAGGTCAGGATCGGAAGGGAGCCCCACCCTGCCAAGGGAAGTGAATGGTCTGGAAACTTGGCGGCAGGTTAACAGGAAGTGCGAGGGCACATCCTAGGACCATTTAGGGCACCTTGACACCCAGCCATCCATCTTTTGTCCTTTAGAGAGGCCTCCTTGAAGCCAACTCTGAGGGCTTTCCGGGCAATTCTTGACTCTGTCTTCATTGCGGTCCCTTACTGATGGCATCCATGAAAATTACATCCGGGTATTCGAGGAACAGGACCGGATTCTCCCGGAAGTGACGCAAGCGCGGAGGGATCCGCTGAGGAAGTCTGAAATCAAGGCACTCCCGGAAGTAGGGCCGGTAGGGACGCTGGCTGTGGCAGAGAAAGGTTGGGTCTTGAGGACAGCCAGCTCATTCTAATACGTGTTTACCTGTCAGGCAGTGTGCTTAACACAAGCATTGTCATGCCATTCAGTTATTTCTTCACAATAATCAGGAGGGAGGAATATTTCCCTTTTCCATACGGAGAAACTAAGGCTAAGACAGAGCCAGTGATTTGTCCAAGATTTTAGAGCTTGTATTTGGAGCTGGTCCAACCCCGACAGGCTGGCTGCAGAACCTGTGCTTTCAACTTCTTCCGTGGAGCTTCCATTTGGAAAAGTCCAAAACCCTCGTGCTTGGCATCCTGGTAAGCCACTTCTGCAAGGCTGTTCATCTTGAGCTCAGCATCCCTTTGCCCAGGCAATGGGGCCACACAGCTACTCTGCTCCTTACTGTGGACATACAACCAAGCTCAGCCTGAGTCACCTTCCCTAAAACAATGACCTGAAATTTCACTTGGTCTCCTGCCCCTTGACTCTGCACATGCACGGCTTTTTCTCGTTGCTACCAAGGAAACTGGAACTGGCTGTTGGGCTCTGGGAAACAGTTTTAACTGTTAGACACTTGTAAATTCGGGACTGTTCAGACAACTCGAGGCTTTTCACCATGATAAAATACAGTCTTTGGCCTTAACTAAGAACTGGCAAATTGGACTCTATACCAAATCAATAATGTTTCTTCTAATTTCTGAATCTTCAGAATATGACTGAGAACCAATCCATTGCTCCTAAGACTACATTTGCCAGCTCTCAAATAACGTATGAATAGCTACTAAGATCATAGTTTTGTAAAAACAAATTATACATAGAAAAAAGCACTAACATATACATCAAAATCAACAGTGATAAAATTTAAAGTGACCATTTAATCTAGTTATTTTCTTCTACTTTCTATTTCCATGTCTGCTATAATATATTTTTAATACAGAAAAATGAATTGACCATGATAAAACATTCTTAGTTGCTTGCCATTATAATGAAGACAAAGGCATGTTGTCACATTTTGACAAATGACAGTCCCTGACACAAATCACACAGAGAAATCCTGTTTGGAAAAGCATTGGATTTTTTTGCCAGTGTTATCAAAATACATTTTGGGGCTCAACAATTCTCACAGTAAACATAAAGCAAATGAGTAAAACTTGTTTTTCATACACTTCTGTATAAAAATATATGACAATCAAAAATTTCTCAAAAAAAAGCGAGGAAAGGGAATTTGAGGCACTTGAAATTTAGGAGAACAAATATAGAGAGCTATTTGTATTCTACCTTCTATGGGGTACAGCTTTAAGCGATTTATTTCAAATTGCAAAATAAAGTCTTCATTCTCTATTCTATCCCTATTCTATATGGTGCTGCTTATATTTGATATTTGACATATTTGAAATATTAACATATTGGTTAATCAGAAAAGATATCTTACAACCCTTGAAGTTGAAAGATACGTTTGCTTACTATACAATTATAGATTATCAATATATTCTTCCAGTCTTTTATGGGCAATGTACTATTGTGCCCTTGAGAAGTCATCACTCAGTGTAACTGTTGCTCTTTTTAATATGCTGTGTTTTTTTTCTTGCTCCATTTAATTTTTTCCCTTCCTTTTTCTTCCGCTCTTTCCTCTTCCTCCACCTCATCACCTCCACCTTCTCCTTTCCTCCTCTCTTCCTTATCCTCCTTTTTATTCTTCAGTTTCCCTTTATGTATTCTTCAGTTTTGCCATATTATCTGTATTACAAATGTCTTTCTAGATGTCTTATTTAGGATTTTCTGGACTTCCTGAGTCTGAAGCATGGTGTCTTTTTATCAATTACAGCCACTTTCAGAGGTTGTTTCTTCCATTGACTCTGGGGTATTTTCCCCATTCTTTTCTCCTAGAACTCTGATTAGATGTTCTGGAATTACCATTCTTCCTTGTATCTTAGTTTTTTTGTTTGTTTCCATCTCTTTGACTTTTAATGCCAAATTTAGAAAATATCTTCATATCTATCTTCCATTTTATCACTCTTCCATGAGTTTCTAATTTGTAGTTTAATGCAATCCTTGAGTTTTAATGTTCAATTAATATATTTTTGTTTTCTAGACACTCTGCCTGGTAGTTTGTAAATTTCTCTAATCAGTTTTGATGAGCTCTTGGCTTTTTTTTCTGAGGGAATTTGTCAGTGTTTAGCACACACAAACACATCCATAACAGGAAGTATCAGTCCCATTGGGCTGAGGAGACAAACAACAGGAATTTAAGGGACACAGTTCCATAGCAGAGAGAATCAAGGTAAAGTGATTCCAAAAACCAGCATGCCATCTTTCCATGAGATGTTTGCCAGTTGCAAAGTTTTACATGCATAGGGTGAAAATTCCAATAAACTCAGTATAAAAGAACATCTTTGAGGCTAAAGACATGAATACAGATTCAGCAGCTGTGGGATGATAGGGAGAAAGAGGATGGAAGTTAAGACTAGTAAAGGAGAACTTACCAAATACCATAGACTTTTAGAAGAGAGCACAGAAAATCCATATCTTAGAAGAAATGACAAAAAAAGTAAATCAGCTATAACAAAGCCTAAAACTAAGACTAGACACTATTAAGATGATCTATTTGTACCATACCTGTTTGCCAGAAGAAAAAATTAACTGGCTCAGGAAAGAAATAATGTCATTCAAAATTTTACATTAAAAAAAAAAAAAACAAAGAGATTTCTTTCTCACAGTTCTACAGGCTAGAATTTCAAGATCAAGTTGTCACTGGTTTGACCTCATTCTGAGGCCTCTCTCCTTGGCATGCAGATAGCCACCTTCTCACCATGTCCCCACATGGTCTTTTCTCTGTGCCTATGCATCTCTGGTGTTAAAATTCTACATTACAAAATTATTTTAGTAAGAGAAATTTGAAAGAAAGAAAAAGAAAATCAACTATTGTTCCATTATTTATATATTCATTGGTTGATTATTGTATGTACCATGACCAGAGATTGAACCTGCAACCTTGAGGTATCAGGTCAATGCTTTAACCAACAAAATTTCACATATTTTAAATGTACATGTCTGGCACCCAGTAAAAATTTTGAGGGATGCTATAAAAATGTCCAAATAACAAAAAAACTAGATTAAAAAGAAATGGTAAAAATATCCTTACTGGTGATTCATATGTTGGAGTTATCAGAAAACTTAAAATAAAAATGATTAATATAATGAAAAATGGAAGAAAATATAGAGAATTTCAGCTAACATTGGAGCCCATTTAAAAGATAAATGGTTTTCAACAGACCTATGTATTCCTTTGAGTAATACTGACATTTTAACTATGTTGATTCTTCTAATCCACGAACACAAATAGAAAATGTTTCCATTTCATTGTATCATTTTCAATCTCTTTTAATAATGCTTTGTAGATTTCAGTATATAAGTTCTTCATATCCTTTGTTTAGTATATTTCTAGGTATTTTATTCTTTTTGTTGCAATTGCAAAAAAAATTGTTTCTTTTCTATTTTGTTTTCTGATTTTCATTTTTAGTATATAGAAATACAATGCATTTTTGTACATTGATTTTGCATCCTGCAGCTTCACTGTATTTCTTGCCTCATTGCTCTGGGTGGGACTTCCAGTACTATTTTGAATAAGAGTGGTGAGAATGAATGTTCTTCATTTGTTCCTGATATTAGAGGAAAATTTCAGTTTTTCACCATTAAGTATGATGTTAGATGAGGGTTTATCATATGTGGCGTTTATTATGTAGAGATACTTTCCTTCTATACCCAATTTATTGAGTGTTTTAATCATAAATGGATGTTATAGCTTATCAAATGCTTTTACTACACTGATTGATAGAATCATATGATTTTTATCCTATATTTTGTTAATGTGGTGCCTTACACTGATCAATTTCCATATGTTGAACCATGTTGTGCCTCTGGAATGAATCTTGCTTAATTGTGATGTATTGTTTTTAAAATGTATTATTGTATTCAATTTGCTAGTACTTTGTTTAAGATTTGTGCATCTGTATTCATCAAAAATATTGGCCTGTAGTTTTCTTTTTTGTGTGTTATCCTTTCCAGGTTTTGGTGTCAGAGTTATCTTGGCCTCATAAAGTATGTTAGTAAATATTGCCTCTTTTTCAGTTTTTTAGAAGAGTTTGAAAAGAATAGATATCAAATCTTTGAATGTTAGGTAGAATTCACTAGTGAAGCCTTGTATGGAACCACAAAAGACCCCAAATAGCCAAAGCAATCCTGGCTATTAAAAAAACAGCAAAGCCAGAGATATTACGTCCCTGTCTTCAAATTATACTACAAAGTGACAAAAATCAAAACAGCACAGTATTGGGAGAAAAACATACATATACCAATAACAGAATTAAAGGCCCAGAAATAAACCCACATGTAAATGGACAAATAATTTTTGACAAAAGAACCAAAAAACATGCAATGGAGAAAAGAAAGCCTCTTCACTAAATGGTGCTGGGAACATTGGAAAGCCACATGCAAAAGAATGAAACTAGAGAACTGTTTGTCCCCATATGCAAAAATTATTTTAAAATGGATCAAAGACCTAAATATAAACCTGAAACAATAAATTACAAAAAAGAAAACATAGGTACTAAACTTATGGACCTCGATCTTAGAGATTTTATCAATTTGACCCCAAAGGCAAGAGAAATAAAGGCAAAAATTCATTGATGGGACTATGTGAAACTAAAAAGCTTCTGTACTGAAAAAGAAACTGCCAACAAAACAAAAAGGCAACTAACTGAATGGGAGAAGATATTTGCAAACAACAGCTCTGACAAGGGGTTAATGTCCAAAATGTATAAAGAACTCTTACAACTCAACACACACACACAAAA